CGTGTCCTTTTAGAGAGCGACGTCGTGAGCTTACCAGTGTTGACTCCCCCCCCCCGTCTCCTGACTGGGCCAATTTACTGCATCGAACGAGCTCAGAGGATGGGGCTTTTGCCGTTGATAAATCCTTTTTGGGATGTGAAGCCCTTCCATTACCTTTATGATAGGTTCGTAGAGGCTTTTCAATGCAATAAGGTCTGACTTGAGGCGCAGGTGATACAGTGGCAAGTGGCACGCTCAGCACCCACGGTCCGGGGAACAAACTCCGGAACGTCTCACGCCAGGCCCACCGATCTCCACCTTCCTCGGGACGGTGAAATGCTACCATATTCGTTTGGGAGGTTAAGAACAGTGACTGTAGGTCGGCTGACCCTCGCAAGTCTTTGTATAAATCACACCACACAACAATCCATTACAATCCATTTCGTTCTGAATGGAGGTAGAATGCGTGCCACATCCCACAAAGGATTGATCAGCTGCAAAACACTATCCCTTTCTTGGTGTGTTTCTCAGTGGGCAGCAGATGAATAAGTTCGTGTTTATCCTCCTATAAGAGTCTCATACCGACTTGCTAGCCCAGGAGGGACGGATAGCTCTGATGACTTTAACGAGAACCGAGCAGGGAATTGGTCTCGAGACTGCGCGCGTGCGGTATTAGTGGCGAAGTGGCTGTCTGTAGCTCATAAGAGAGTGATGGGTGTTCAATTTTTTTGATTTTCTGGCATGAGTATTACATCCATTTGGCGTGAAATAAGCCTGACATCCACGCTAGAAGTGTTTTGTAGACAAGTTCCAATCGAATTTAGTGACTTTGACTGCTTATTGCTCACCTAAGACATCTAATAACAATTTTGCTCCTTGTAGCTAGCAATTTTGTGATTAGCATAGCAAGCTCTGTCCATATAATTAGTTCTTCAATCAAAGTTCTTTGATATGTCGAAACCCTTTCCTGAAACGAACTGCGTGACAACGAGGTGAAGTTATGCATTTGCCAGGCAGGCCAGACGACTGCGTATCAATGCCCTCACCTTAATCTACACTCAGATGTGAGACGATGGATAATTCGACTCACAGCACCAATAAAAGAGATGAAGTAGTTCGTTTCGCAATCACAGTCCATCCTGCACGGCAAGGCTCGTGCGCGCACCTTTTTGGAGAGTGATAGGGTCTAAACTCTCTTCGCTATGCTTGTCCCTTATCCTAATTGCAGTGGACATGGCACGCAGTGGGCATTAACTACAGATCTGCAACCAGTTCGTTTACCCGGTAGCGACCGGAGGCAGATGACGCCAGGCGTGATCCGCTAATAATTATTCTCGAGAAGGCAGACACAATGCCGGAGCACAGAGACGTGTAGAGAAAAATGCATCGGTTTCGCTGTAAAGGCGGGGGCGTGTCGGGACAGCTAGGTTAACACGACACTAGCCCGTTCTCCACCGATGGTTGAGACGAGCAAGCGAGAGCAATCGGTGCAAATCGGGCTGACGTTGCTCGAACCCTTCTCCCCCCCCTGTGGAATTCCCTTCATCATCAGCAAACAAGACTCTGTGATTAAGGTGATCGTCTCTTATCCGTCCTACACATAAGCCTTAAGGAATTTTTGCTGCCAAGGCAAATTGCACACACATTTCCGATGATGATCCTTGCCATGTATAGGAAGAACGGAAGGCAGCTCCACAAATGCAACAGCTGTCCCATTGAGAGCGCGCGGAAGTAAGGCCGAAAGGTAGTGAAACCTGGGACAGTTTCAAGCTCCATCTGCGCTATCCTCATGGTGCAGCCCGCGGGTTGAGGCTGAAATCCCGCAGCGGACGCCCACTCGGAACTGGGGAACAACTAGACGTGAGAGGGAGCAGACAACTAGTGCGTTGAGTTATGGTAGCCGTGTAACTGGCCGTGCAGCAGCGAGAGCGGGGTCCAGAAAAGCGTCCGTGTATCACTACTCTCCACTCTCATTCCGAAGCAATTTCGTATAACAAAACTGGTACTCTTGCAGAGCTGCGGACCCGTTCACATCGCACACGGCTAAGATCAGAACTTAGAAGGTGGATATAGCGTATTCTCAAAAGCTGATTCATTTCGTAGTCGAGGGGAAGGAGTTCTGAGAATACCAATATGACATGTCAAGTAAAAGTACTCGATCATCTGACTGATAATTCAGGTACAACTGAGACGTGCAAAGGATACTGGTGTCTCAGATACACGCCCTGGTCTATCGAACCAACCACGAGTTCAGGTGACTCCAGTGAGTTTAAAATGTTCGGTTCGGGGTCGCTCTTACGGATTCAAGGTGGTTTTTAACAAAAAACTTTTTTTACAACACTTGGCAGTTTCAAAGAATCGGTAATATGGTGGCTAAAGGTATGTCAGTCGTAATGTCATCTTGCTACATGATGATTCTCCGGGTACTGGTTGGGTGGCTTATACTATAGCCGGAGGCGTTTGCTGAGGCCTTAAAGGCGGAAAGACACACTGACAACATACTACCTAGCGACAAACCTTCATACCAACTTAAGGCCCTATAAAACAGTGTGATAGAAGAATTACCACTAGGAAGTGTAGTAAGTGTAGAGAGGTGGAGATTCTTGAAGAATATTTCAAACCCTTTCTCAAGAACCTAAAAAATATCTTCGTAATGGATAAGTAATTTCAAATAATTTCACAATTTTTTTCTCTGTTCTCATTGCTTTTCTTTGTTTAGACTCCAATTGCGCCATGATGCCACCAATCACCGCCTCAAAACCCAATGGCGAAGCTTACCCAATAAAGGAGATGGAAACGCCTAACAATGGATTGAAGTGTTCTCTGAGCATGCGCCTTGCGAATTATAAAAAAAGGAGTGTGCTATGATAAAACATCCTGTCGAATGTTTCGTTAAACTTTCCTCCA